CTTGCACACTTTTTTGCACTTTCGTTTGTTCGAGGATAATTCCTGCAATGCTAAATTGCGTTACGTGAGTTGACGTATGGTACTCGTGCACTGGGAACACCGTAACCCAGCGCTGAAGACAAACTGCGCACTCACCTACATGGACCGGTCCTTGCCATGTGTGAGGTGAATTGGTTGCAGCTACAGTAACGTACCACTTTCGCCAGACAGAATTGCACGGTGCGGGCTAGAGGGGTAGTGATATTGTGGTGATACAGTGATATGCCGTCTCCAGACTCCTTCCGCGCTGCCGCACGACCAGCCACACGCCCAACCGTAACCAAGCGCGCTGCTTGTCTGCACCCTCTCACTTCTAGCCGTTACGTGTGCGGACGTCTCTTAGGTGACCCCCGTAACGAAGAACATGGGAAAAGAAGCGGATCTGGGCAGTAATATGCTTGCCTTCCAGCTTTTTCAAATTTTCTTATTCAGTCTTATGGAAGGTTAGACTTCAATTCTCGAAAAATATCTTTGCTGTGAATTCACTGTTTACATTTTACGTAACATTCGCGTTTTCATGGTTCTACCAGCAATAACTTTGAAAACTCTACTATCCTTCCTTCGAATTCTGCTGATAGAGCTCTGCACTTCTGATCCCCCCCAACCTAATGACCGACCCCTTCCAGTGAGATTTTGTGATTTAAGCAAGGATGATATGCCCTGATACCATTTTTTCAAACATCCCACGAACAAATCCGAAAAAGCAGTCCTAAAGGTGATAGTGGTGTTCAGTAGGTACATAATGCCCCCACCCCCGTTCTAGTACCATCACCAGGATCGCATGACGTTGCTCGGCGCTCCTAGTCAGGACACTATCGAGAGCTGCTGTGTCCGTACTTTCGCGCGAACTTCACCAATCCGTGCTCGTCCATGGAAGGTCAACCGGAAGCTGGCGGAATGCCTGGTGCGATTATTTTAACCTTGACTCTGCCGATTTCCCGAAGTCTATATTGGCCCCACGTCATTCTGACATAATTTCGTGTACTTTTTGTACGGTTGGTGTAATTTACATAGAATTTTGACTACATCGCATAAGTTGACGTACTCGGTCGCACTACTTACCTATGCGTTGGAGTTAAACTTGAGCTTAAGTTCACTGCGATTTTACTACGTGATGTAGTTTCTCAAGTACATTCGATGATTCACATGAGGATACGAGATACCAAATGAGTCACGTTAAGCACGAGGTAGAATCTAAAGGAAATTCTTTAGACTTCAAATTCAAAGGCCTAAGGGTTGAGGTCATTAGTCAGTGCGGTATGAGCGGGGTCAGGGTTACCATCGGGGTACTTGCTTTCGAAACGCTGACCAATTGTGTCCAACTTCTCTCTTTTTTTAAAAAAGCGGCTTTGCAGCTTTTAGACGGTTTATTATGCCGGAAAAAAGGTAAGTGGAATTCTTCATTGAACTTGACCTGACGTTTAGACTAGATCGTACCAAGAGGCGACTTCACCACCGCAACGGAGCGGAACGACGTTTCTGAAGACGACGATATAGCCGAAATAGCTAAATTTAATGAAGAGTTCCGCCACTGCTAACAACCTTCTTTGGCACAATAATTAATAGGTTGACATATTGTGACTTCATTATGGGCACACCCCATTCCTTCACTGTTCAGAAAGCAAACGAGAAGACGTAAAGCAGGTCTGTGGCCGCCGCCCGTAAGAACAACGTGGAGTATTTTTGCAATGGAAATAGCCTGTCTTGTTCTGTCTGTCCTCTTTACCGTTCGGTTCTTCCGGATTGGTTGAAAGTTGATCGCGGCTGCGCCGTGCCATCAGTCGTTAGAGGCCAAAACTTCTACAGCAGAAGACCACCTCAAAACAGCAACATTCTCAACAAAACTGTCCTCACTAAGGAATTTGAGCAGCTTCTGTAGAAATGGCTAGGTTCGTAACAATAGGTAACGGCATTGGATTCTACGTGCATGCTGGCAAGTTGTTAGAAAATCTATTCGAAGGGATGGATGCACTCGCTTGGGAAACACATTCCACGCTGACCGTATAGGCCTAATTAGACTTACCCTTATACCTTTCCCATTGATGCTCCCCTCCTTGCCAACCCGGTAAAGAGAAGGAGTGCATCAATGCAGAAGGCACTACGCTAGATCTGACCCTGCCCATATGGTCAGCGTGGGCTGTGTCGCTTGTTGAGTGAGCTACTCTTACAAATGGTCAAAGGTTGGAAAACTTCCATTTCAGCAGGGGTTTAGGGAGGGTTCTCGAGTACTACACCCCGCTTGTCGGTAACCGTTGTTACACGCACTGTAATGTACAGCATCTCGCCAAGAGAGCTTGGAAATCCAGGAAATGACGTGATTTCTATTGCACCCCCCCCTTTCTGGCAGTGAGCTACACATATTCAGCTGCTGATAAGATTTTATTATTCCAGAGCTATCTTTGGAATGCTCACACTTCACACAGAGGTACGTCTATTTACAACCCTTGTCGCCGTATGCGCTGACGTCAACATCGAAGTAGTGAAGATGATCAGGAATCGATGTAGTGATGTCCAGTCCATCGCTGCAGCCCTTGTCCTCATCAGCTGAAAATAATTTTCAGAGGTAGGAACTTCCATGAAGTGCACGCCATATCGCGGAGATGGGAAGGGCGTGGTTGCGTACTTCACATGAACGTGGGGCATTTGCATATCAGATCACTTACCGTCGCATACTTTGAAAGACGCACCGCTCTTGTCGTTGTGATAGAAAGCCTGAAAGACGTGGATGCAGTACAAAGCATGTGGGGACAAATAGATGGCTCTACTCTGCACCACAAGATGATAAATCTTTTTGATGGCAATCGCTTATGCATCTTGATCGTTTTTTTACTTGTGGCTTGTCCGCGAGGTCGTTATAAGTTTCTGATTTTTTAACGGCTTTTGCTCCTTCCTTTCGAATCAGCAGAAAGAGCGCGGGACGCCAAGGAACACAGCACAAGGGTAGGCATGACGTGGCCTCACACGACCACACTGGATTGTTGAGTGGGAAGTTCTTGGCGTTTGTAGTCCCCCATAGATGCAGTTTTATTTGCTGCGGAAAATTGGGCGGGCGTGTCAGAGAGGATAGTTTAACGCAGCGCCAACCCGTTTCTTTTCTTTTCTTTTGGCAAGCGACTAAACTGTGGTATATTGTGCGAGCGTTTCCGCTTCGCCAACTGGTGCAGAGCAGTAAAGAGCATCCCAAGAAGTGAGGCACAACGGCATATGCGTTACCGCCCATACGTCACCGTAAGTGCTCTGCCTTAATTGCAAGAATGCTGATTATGGGCAACAGACTTTACCTCAGTTGGAACTCAACCTGCACCTCACGCTCACCGGGCGAGTGCAGTATTCACTGCGCTACCGCCACCGCCTATTACCCTTCCTGTTCCACGCCACAGCCTTTCAGCAATTTCAGCCAGTTCTGAATGTTGAGAGACACATGAAACCCAAGAATTATTTCCAGAGAGCGCTACAAGGCCCCAGGAACCATCTCCGAAATTTGAGCCCTACGGAGTGATTTTTGGAGTTCACATTTAATTGTCACATTTTGAACAATGACGGTTCAATCTATCAAGCTTGCCCAAGCTATGCACTAGCAATATTCATTTTTGTCAAAAAAACACCGTACCAACCTCAGATTTGTGATGGCGATAACCTTCCAGATTCTCCGGCGGTACGTGTGGTACGACGTCTCTCCAATGCGTAACGCGGTAGCTGTACATGTTCTAAATGTTTGAAGGTTTGAAAACTACTCTTTTTCGAAGGTTTGACTTTTATTAAAGGCTAAAACATATAAAATAAAATCGGCGTGAAAATGGGCATAATCATTGTGCCTTCCTCATCAGCGCGTTTTTCCATCTGATATGCCAGAGATGAGGAGCGTGCCAATGAGGAAGACTCAATGGTAATGAGTCTCCGCCCATTTTGCCGTTCGGAGCGCCATTGTGGAAAACAGGAGCTATGGCCAACGACTTTTTTCTGCCGATTCCCATTCAACGTCACGACTAACCAGGTTTCACTAAAACCTGATTACTGCATTGGATCGAATGTCAAACTCTTAAAACCGATCTCGGCAGTACCTGGTTATCATGAGCAGCTGCGAAGTCCTTGTTACCAGTTCGTGGCTGACCAAATGTGACCAATTCGACGTTGGCAGCTGGGACGAGCTTAGCTCCAACAACATAGGAGGCTGCCAATGTGGCCATCGCTCCTCCAAGAGAATGACCCGTCACCTGGAATCAAAAATTCTCGAAGGCTACCATTAATCCGTTGATATCATATGGGCGGAACGTTCAACGCCTTCTTTATTTGCGCTCGACGACGTGCCCTTACAGAAGGCAAAGTGGTCGACTGTCTCCGCCCACATGATTTGCGTGGACTAGGCCTCTGAGCCGAAACGAAAAACTGCGATCGCCATATGCTTACCCAAACTTTGTACGACGGATATTTCGATCTGAGTGTGTTGAAATCATCCTTCATTCCACCGTTCCACAAGTCCATGAAAGCGTCGTTGAAGTATTTGGACACTTTTCCGCCAGCGATCCATGAGACCTATAAGAGGAGGGCCGTCAGAAAAGGATGACTTTCAAGATACACCAGCCCCTTTGAGGATGCGCCATGCATTTTACTCCCATCCAGAACTGCAGTGGCATTTTAAAATCGGGTTGGCTTTCCGATTACAAAGGAAGGGGGCGGGTGAGAGGGGAGGGGGAAGGTAGCCGATCTAGAGTTCAATGTTTTTTAGCCTCTAACCTAGCACAGGCTGAACGCTGTCTGGCACCATCTTCGTCCCTGTAACGACATTCGCGAATGTCCG